TTAAAAACATAAAAACTGAAATTTATATAATCTTATTAACCAATGTCATTCTAATAAATTTAAACAAGCAAGTGATATCCATTGCCTAGACATACACAATGGAACCTAAAGCACAGGAGAGGTAACATCTCATCCTAAACAGATGTATAGATGAAGTTGTGCTAAATCCTGAAGAAAAGGGTATTTAGAAAAAGAAAAAAAAAGTGGCAAAGGAGGGTGGGAAGCAGCTGAAATTTCAAGCAGAAAGAGCAGTGTGTGCAAATGCCCCACGGGAAAAGACAAGATGTCTCTGAGTACCTGAAGGGAATGCCCAATGACCAGAATACCTGATGTGTGGGCACAGCCCGTCCTCAGGGAGGAAGTAGCAAGCCCACCAAGGAATCTGGTCTACTCTCAAAGCCATATAGATTTAGTGAAGGATTTTCAGCTAAAAAGTGTCATGACTAAATAGTCAACAAAAAGATCACGTTGACAACAGTGTGGACAGACTGGAAGAGGGTGTGACTGGAGGCAGGGAGATCAGTCCAAACACCATGGCAATGGTCCTCACCTGCTCGGTTGAACTGCTTTTATTTCTATGCTCCCCAACCATTTGTATGCACAGTAGTTGAAACAACACTATCATAGAAAATATCTTCATGTTTGTCTCCTTTAAACCACATACATTTTGAAAATAGAGATTATTATCTTTGCATGGCTAGCATAGGAATCTGCTCTTAAAGAAACTACTGACCCAATGTATCTGATTCTAGGTGACCTGGAACACACCAGATCCACAGCCCACACTGAAGCAGATCACAATAAGAGACAAAGGGTAATAACAAAGACCATGCACAGACTGCCACAGCTATGGGAGGGGCCGTCACAGCAGCTCCCTTCCACTGGAGCCTGGTATGAGAACCTCACCGGCATGGGGATCTTAGAGAGTTCTTTTCCAATGCAGTTCTTCATGATGCTCCACAGGTTGAGGCTATAGTTGGGTTTGTATGGTATTTTAGTTCTCTTTTCCTTCTTGGTCTCTTCCAGCTGATGCTTGTACTAAGAACAAAACAAAGCCATTCAATCTCCCACAAAGAACAGAAACCCAGTATTATAACCTTCCCTTCCCCCATGCTAAAAAGTATTTCTAAAAAAACAACAACAATCAGCACTTTTTCTGTTTCTCTTGGTGCTTTACAAGCAAATCCTTGAGAATCACACCTCAAGTCCCTCACTTCAGATAACTCCCAAATAAGAGTTACCTGTTCATCAAGGCTGATGTCACTGCTGGCTCCACTGATGTTGCTGCCAGTACGTCTACACGGATGGGAAATGTATGAGAATTAGAACAAAGACCAGAACTAGAGTTTGGTCCTCGCCATGTCTTTACAAAGCAGAATGCTAAGCATGCTGCACAAACTTATTAATGGGTGATCGAATGACACGTAGAATAAAATATGTATGAATTTAAACATCTCTGGACAACCTGGTCAGGTAAAAAAGCTAACAGTTTTCCACTTACTCAAAGAAAGGGTCCTAGATTTCAGTATGATACTCCCCTTGAAGTTTTTCTAACCTGTGGATGGTCAGATACGTTCATTCTTGTCAGGATCAAAGATAACTTACTTGTGGCCCAAATTTTCAGGCATGGTGATGATCTCAGGAGCATCAAAAAATTCATTCTCATCATCCTCATCACTCATGTCTCCTTTGCCAGAGCAGCACTGATCTGTAAGGAGAAAAGCCTTGTTTAATTACTTTGGTCAAAACTTGGTGCAGCAGGATTTTAAATACAGGTCACAAACAAAGCAATAAATGGTAGAAAGCAGTGGAAAAGACAGAAGAAATCCATGGCACCAATTGCATTTCACGAGTCACTGATTCCGGAGAATTTGGAGTTCTACCAACTTCAGAAAATACCCTGGCTCCCCTCAGAACAAGCTACCCAGAGGCCAAGCGACTTACCTTTTCCTGGACCCGCACTGCCAGAAGGGTGTGCCGGCAGCACCGTGGCTCCTCGGAAAGCCCTCTCCAGGTGGTTATGCTGCTTTGCCAGCTGCTCCAAGGTCTCCTCCAGCCGGATCCGCTGGTCTCGCTCATACTGCAGTGACTTCTGCCATTTTTTACTATGGGTCTGGGCTAACATAAGAAAATCTCTGCAAGCCTGTAGGGGAAAAGAGTTAATAAGTATCACTCAACTAGTCAGAGATACCTCTCATGCCCTATCAACCCATTCTGGGAACTTCACAGGCAGATTACAAAGAGACTTTCCCTGTTATTCCCCAGTAGCAGGGACAGCCAGCTCCATGAGGCAATGAAGGTCGACTCCAGAAAACAAAATGAGCATGGTTGTCACGGTTCTTTCATATTTTCCCGGTCATGAGGACCAACCAAATGCCAAGGGAGCAGTAAACCTAGACAAAGTATTTGTGGCAACATCACAGAGGGCAACTATGTGAACTACACACAAAAAAAAAAAAAAATTTTTATCGACTGAAAGAGAAGGAAAAGCATAGGACTGTTTTTTAATAAATTCTTCATTAAACCCAAGTCACCTAAAGCTGAAGAATTCAGACAATGAGAGTAGAGAATCTGCAATGAATTGACCAAATATGGGGAAATTGACTCTGTTTTTATTTTGATCACGAAGAGAAACAACTGACCATAAAATTAGACGCCTACCCGAGGAATCAAAGGAAGGCTCTAGAGATAAAACACAAATCTGATCACATCACTGGCTCCCTGCTGGTACTGGGACCAAATCAAAACCACTGGTTATGAATGTAAAGGACCCTTCATAGTAGGGCTACGGCCTGCTTTTTATATCCTCTTCGCCAGACTCCTGCATCCTCCGTGGAATCACTATTTCCTGGAGCAACATATTTCTTTCAGGCCTGCCTATCTATCATAGCATACGCTATTCGCTGTGCTTAGAATGCCCTCTCCTACCCCCTTTCTCTACTTGGCCAAGACCTCTTCATTGTTTCAGATTTATGGCCAACGTTTTTCTTCTGTGACCCTCCCTCACCCCCAGTCCCTTAAGCAGCCAGTGTCTTCTGTACATTCCCACAGCACTTGGCATACACCTCTATTCTTCACTAGCCACAGCAGCCGCATGACTGATGTGCAATGTCTCCAGACGGATCATACACAACTTGAAGACACAATTTACGGTTAATACATATACTTATCTTCAGCTCCTTAGTAGCTTTGTACATAGTAGGAGCCTAGTTTGCTTAGTAAATAAATAAAGCAATGTATTCTTAAAACTAAATGCCCTGTTCTAGAGAAACTATAAGGTAAATAAAATTTCTCCACCCATGGTTTTGATTATTGCCTCTAGGCTCAATGACTGTGAAATCAGTAATTTCAGCTCTGTGCTCATGGAGCTTTCAGACCAGAATATCCAGTTGCCTATTCAGTGGCTCAAAGTAATCTCAAAATCTGTGGGTCCCAAAGTGAACTCACTATGTTACCTTTATGACTCTGCTTCTCCCTTGGTGTGTCCCATGGCACAATAGTTCCAGGGCCCTTCCACGTACCCAAGCCAGAAAACCAAAATGTATACTTGATTTTGAATTTTTAGTCCCTCCCATATCCAATTATCTAGTCCTATCAATTCTTCTTTAATTTTTCTGGAATTTCATAATTCTTTCCATCTTCCATACTCAGAGGCAGTACATACACTAGAGTTGGGTGGTTGGGACTCTAATCACAGCTCCATCTCACTATCTAGCTATGGAATTCTGGGCAAGTAATTTAACCTCTCTGTGCTTCATCTTCCTCATCTGTAAATAGAGAGTAACAACAGTAACTACCTTAACTATTTGTATGCCTTAAGCATATAGACGCAAGCAGCAGACCTTTTTAAATTAAATTCAAAATATCATGGCAGTTCAGTGGTTAAAGAGTTGTAGCTTTATATATAAAGCATTTAGAACTTATGGCTCACAGTAAGCATTCAATAAAGTGTTAGCTATTATACTAAGCCTGCACCAAAATCAATCTTACCCTCTTTTAATGCACTACTACCAAAACCATTTAGTATAATCTGCACCCTATCCCTTCTCCACACTCAATTCCTTTCAGCCTTATCTCTAGCTGCAACTTGCTCCACAGTCAATTACCAGCAGTTCCCAGACTTTGGGAGGGAAGGAGGAATCTGCTTATGCCACATCTCTACCTGGATCAACTGTTCTCTTTCACTTCCCTTTAATGATATTGATCACAACTAAAATTTAGTGAGACACAATTATATCAGACATTTGCTGAACACTTTATATCAACATATATATATATATATATATATATATATATATATATATATATATCTCCCTAATATGCAATTAGACCGAATAGCAGAACCCACTGAACAACCAGTCGCTATGATGTGCGCTGACCACCAGGGAATGCACGCAGAACATGGAAGGCATCATCAGCAGGTAACAGAATATGGCAGGGTTTGGCTGTGGTGGGATGGTGCAGGTGAGCAGGGGCACCAGACCAAGGGGGGCACTGGTTGCTGTCACTGGGGTGAGCCTTTGGTAGTTACTAAAAATTCTTTGCTTCCATGCTCCCGACGGGCGCTCGCACCTGCTGCCAACACCTGCAACTGCTGCAGGCAGATGGCCTAGTACCACAGCAGGAGGGGCACAGAGGATGGATCGAGACCCATCCATGCCCACTGCAGCTTTGCAGCCCACAGTTCCTTTCAAGGTGCACTAATTCGAGCACTGGGCCCCTAGTTATCTGATAAAGGCCTTTCAACAATCTTGTGAGCAGTTTCCTAGTACAGTCATCAGTTACCAAAAAGGAATTGAGGTTACAGAGGAAGTAGGTTGCCCAGGCTATATAGTTAACCAAGGAAGCTGGATTTAATTGCCTTTTTTCTTTTTCTTTTCTTTTTAATATATTTTATTGACTTTAGAGAGGGAGGGAGAGGGAGAGAGAGAAACATCAATGATGAGAGAGAATCACTAATAGGATGCCTCCTGCATGCCCCCTACTGGAGAAAGAGCCCACAACCTGGGCATGTGCCCCAACCAGGGATCAAACCATGACCTCCTGATTCATAGGTCATTGCTCATGTTGGCTAGGCTAATTGCCTTTTTTTCACAAGCAGGCACTCTTTGGTCTTCCAGAATTCAGCTGAATTTTTTTTTTTTTTAATATTTTTTTTTATTGATTTTTGTACAGAGAGGAGGGGAGAGAGATAGAGAGTTAGAAACATCGATGAGAGAGAGTCATCGATCAGCTGCTTCTTGCACACTCCCTACTGGGGATATGCCCGCAACCGAGGTACATGCCCTTGACCGGAATCGAACCCGGGACCCTTAAGTCCCCAAGCCGACGCTCTATCCATTGAGCCAAACCGGTCTCGGCGTGAATTCAGCTGAATTTTAAATTCTGTGTGCTATATCAGCAGCCTGTGCTCACTTCTGTCATTCCTTGGCACAGTCCTACTGATCTGGTAACTTCTCTGTCCCCTCATCAGAAAGTAATATTCCTTAGGACAGGTACCACACCCACATCTGTGTTTTATTTTTTTATTGTCTAAAGTTTTACATATTCCCACATCTGTTTTATCCTTTAGCATAGTGCCTAGAAGACAGACAATACAAAATAGATGTCCACTGAATTAGCAAATGGATATACTAACAGTGTCAAACTTACTCCCCTGCTTAGATTCACTTTGGTAGGGGAAAAAAAAAAAAAAAAAAAAAGCTACAGTCTACAAAATGTATTCTTCCTTTGGAACAAAAGACCTTTAGGGATGTAATGTGCTAGGACTATAATTTCCAACAATCACATTACACTATAGGCCTTGCCACCATCACCTAAAAGGTATAAAGGAAATAAGACGGGGGGGAGAGGGAATTTTTAAGCAATAACCAGCTATTAGAGGGGTACAGGCAGTGCAGTAGGATAGAACAGAATAAGACACAACTTCCCTCTGACTCCCAAGCAATCACAACTTAGGGAAGAACTGCCCTGAGGAACAAAGATGAGCATGGTTTCAAGAGTAATGTCCAAGCTAAATTTTCAGTTTTATGAGAAATTATCAATCAAGAGATGTTTTATTTAGCAAATTTTTCACATCTAGAGTAGGAAAAAATTATCATGGAGTAGGATGTTCACCTGATAAGGATAAGAGGTGACATTCACTACCAGGAGACTTGAGTCCTGAGCTGTTCTATTACTGATTCACTATTTTTTTTAAAAAAATATATTTTATTGATTTTACACAGAGAGGAATTGAGAGGGATAGAGAGTTAGAAACGTCGATGAGAGAGAAACATCGACCAGCTGCCTCCCGCACACCCCCTACTGGGGACATACCCACAACCAAGGTACATGCCCTTGACCGGAATCAAACCCGGGACCTTTCAGTCCGCAGGCCGACGCTCTATCCACTGAGCCAAACCGGTCTCGGCCTGATTCACTATTAATTGGCCTGGAGGACTTATGAGGACCAAAAGAGCAGGCAGTCATTAAGAAATGCCACAGTCTTCATGTACATTGGTTGCGGGCACATCCCCAGTGGGAGGTGGGCAAGAGGCAGCTTGTCGATGTTTCTCTCTCATCGACGTTTCTAACTCTCTATCCCTCTCAATTCCTCTCTGTGTAAAATCAATTAAAAAATATATTTTAAAAAAAAAGAAAAGAAAAGAAAAGAAAGAAATGCCACAGTCTGGAGAATGAGCACACGACTACGCATGAGAAACACAGCATTAGTGCTGATGAACAGAGTCCTGGAGACAACTGACCTTCCTGCAGTGGACAAAACAACTGTCCTTTCTACCTTCTGTGAGTCAGCTCTGAAGATGAGAAAAATTAAACTTCCCCTTTGTCACAGGGAAGACCTTTGATCTCTAGGAGCCACAATAGTTCTAATAAGTCTTATTATCACTCCCCCAAAAAGGGAAAATCTGGCCCTAGTGAAGTAATTTCATCCTATTTAATAAGGTAAGAAAAAACAACAAAAAAAACAACAAGCCTGCATAAGCCTTTTCTCACAAAGTCCCCTTCTCACTTACATTATGAAATGTCTGTTAGGGTTTGTTTTCAAGTTGAAACTGCTAGAACAACCTGCCAGGTGAGAATCAGTTACCAGTAGAGGAAAAACAACACTGTTTAAACCAAGTATTCATTTCATACCGATTCCCCAGGATCTGAAATAATATCACTAATTCCCATGAGGCTTTGGCTTTATCTAGAACCTTGCAGCCAAGCAGCAGAAGTACCCCAAACCAGCAACAGCCACCAAGACAGAAGTCATGAGAAAGCAGAGCGGTAGGCCCTTCTTTTTAAACCAAAGTGCCCAAAGCTGAGTGTTACTGTATTACCAACTAAAATCAAAGAGTAAAGATGGAATAACCAGTATTATAAAACTCTCACTTGATCCAACTCCCATTTACCACACCGTGGGTCAGAATACATTAGCAACATAGGGATCAGACTCCAACTTAAAGCTCAAAGAACTTGACAGTGGAAGGGCCCATAAGATCTTTTAGTTCCAACAGATAGAACTAGCTCAAAATAAATAAAACCGCAATCCAGAGATTAAAGGATGCAATTAACATCACCATCAGATGTCCTGCTGATGCCAGAAACAGGGATGGAACTATGGACTCCTAGCTAACTCCCAGGCTGGAGCAGCGTCCTCCTGACCATCTGAGCAGAGCAGGAAAGTCATCCCATCTGTTCACCCTGTTCTATTTCATACAACAAACAATTTACTTAAATCCCGGAGCAGCAAAGCAGGACCTAATGTCCTGTGCTTTATCAATTACAATTTCCTGGCATTCTGGAAAAATTACATTTTGAAAGAGGGAAAGAATAAAAAAGCTACACAGGATACCATCTGCACTTACATTGATCATGGCATTGGATGTGATCCTGAAGAGTGTGGCCCGTTCGTTGACCTGCTTGATCTTTTCGTTGCTCTCAGCAGGCAGCCTCAGGGACTCCAGCTCACTGAGGGAGCGCTGCAGCGCGGTGCCATGCTTGGCTATCAGGTCATTGCATGTGCTCAGGTCCTCAACTTTGCTGGACAATGTCCGAAGGGTATTCTGCAGCTCTGTCTTGTCAGTTTGTGAGACAGACTCTTCATCCCCTGACTCATCTGCAGAAGCAAAAGGTAAACTTACATGATTCCAGGCCCAGGAGTGAGAGCCTGAACACTGCCAACTCTGCCCACAACCAAAACGGACACTCCTCCCATTGTGGGTTCTGGCCACTCGGCAGCACCAGACTTCTCCACAGTGTGTTCCACAGCCCACTTGCATCACAAACACCTGGAGTTCTTACAGGTGTACTCCACTGGCTCCACCCCCAGGGACTCTGATTTGGCTAGTGGGAGGTAAGGTCCAGAAACTTGCACTTCGAATAAGCGCCCCAGGTAATTCTGATGCACACTGAAGTCTCAAAACCTAGAGGTCAGGATGGAAAAGCTAACTGGCTCCTGGGGTTAGGTATGAATTCCTGAGCCTTTATACTTTAACACGAGGGTCCCAATCCAGCCCCAGCTAATTATTACTGCAAATCCACTATCACTTGTTAGGTGTTCGGTAGGCCCTGTATGACATGGGTTAAGAATCACAGTCTAGCTCCTTATAAACAAAAGATTCATCAATTTATTTGTCTTTTCTGAAGAGGAGAAGATTAAAAAATTATCTTTTCTGACATTATATCCACATTGCATTGAAATCAATACAAGGTCTTCTGTTCAATGACTCTCCAATAATAAGTCAAGCAGACAGCTATGTTGTACCTCTCGCTACCAACTCTGTACCTAACACTTTTGTAACTGCAAAGTGTTTCTCCAGCAATGGCACCTCTTTTGGGCAGGGGGCCAAACATCAGCATTAAAATCAAAACGAAAGAAGTGAGGAAAGACCTGACGCAACTGCTAGGCAGAGAGGCAGGGCCAAGATGAAAACATAGCCTGTTACCAGAATGTTTACAAAGCAGTGAACTTTCCTTTCACTGCCTCGTAGATAATAAATATGGTATGGGAAAAGATAGGGGATAAGAAAAACAACAGATGAACACAAGTCAGCAGATGACCATCTTGGTCAGCTCCAAGTGAACAAGCTCAGTATGCTTAAACTGCCAACATCTATGGGGGAAATCCTACCATTTTCCTTGAAGAAAAAATACGAACACAATCAGATTGCACTTTTTCAGTGAAACTAAGGTAGCAAAATGAAGATGTTTCATAGAAAATATCACATAAGATGATTTTTGGCAGTCTATGAAGCTTGTTTCAACTCCACTAACAAATAGTTAAGTAAGGAGATGTCAGGAGAAAATAAAAAGTAAGGTAAATACAAATTGTGAGTTGTAATAATCCTAAGACTGATCTAGCAATAAAATAATTATTTCTCATAATTGTAAGGTAGTCAATTGGCATTAAAAGCAAAAGAATAACTGTTTATGCCTGTAGGTCATAAACCCTCAACCTCAGCAATACTGACATTTTGGCCAGATAACTAACTCTTTGTTGTGGGTGGCTGTCCTCTGCATTGCAGGGGCTTTAGCGGCCTCCCTGGCCTCTACTTACAACAGGCCAATAGTCACCACCACCCCTCATCTGGGACAAGAAAATGGCTCCAGGCATTGCTGAGTGACCCCTATAAGGCAAAACTGGCCTCACTTGAAAACCATCTCTCCAGGAGAAACACTGCATGATGTACCTGAGACATGTAGGTGATAGTTGATAATTAAATGACAATGAGGGATAAAATAAACTTTGTGCGTAAGATAGGCAAATGAAAAGTTTCCCTGACACAGTGTCCTTTGCTCCCCACCTGATTCTGCCAGCATCTTCACAGCCTTGGCCTTGGCCAGTTCCAGGGCTGTCACCCAGCGCTGCCGCTCCACTTCCGAGCTGGCCTTCAGATGATAGGTCTGAGCACCTCCATTGGAGATGATGAAGTTGCAGGAGTCCTCCACAGTAATGTTGGCTGTGGCCAGGTTGATGGTACCACGGCAGGTATGTCTCATTTCTGCCTTTGACCTGCAATAATGAGGCGAAGACATGCTAAGTAAAAAGCTGTGGGTGGTTTGTCCTTGATCAATTCTATTTCTTCTCATAACTTTTGAAAATAGTCCCAAAAGGAGCAAATTCTAATATTTCCCTTAAATGGATCCCTGAAATTCAAGAAACAGTCAGTAGGGATTTCCTTTCAGAGCCCAAGTATTGTTTCTGAGTCAGATTGTATTGCTCTGGGGTTCCTCTCACCGTTAGCTGGTTTAAAAAGAGGCTTCACTGTAGTTCAAGGACAAACTCTAAATTCAGCAATTTTAACTATATGATTCAGTGAGTTTTGACAATGTGCATAACTGTGTAAGCACCTCCAAAACCAAAATGTAAAATATTTCCATCTCCCCAAGAAGTTCCCTCATGCCCTTTTGCAAGTAGGAATTACTTTTTATTTAGAAAGTTATAATTATAATTCATGCATTTTACATGCAATGAACAATCCCCTTCCCCTCAAACTGTAGCTCAGCCTAAATGAGACCTGTCACACTGCTTAGAATTGTACTGCAGAAGTATAAGGCACACGTACATGATTAGAGTATTAAATATTGACTCTAGCTCAAATGATATAAAACAAGAATAAATAGTTTTCTGTGGAAGAAAAGACAAAATAATCATAAAAGAATCACCTGGTGGCCTATCTTCCTCTGCTAAGTTCTTTCCTAAGGCCCACTGACCTCTACTGGTGGAAACTCCTAAGCCACCCTATTAATAGTTAGGAAAGATTCAGCAAATCTGCTCTCAAAGAGAGCTGGGTGTAAAATTTTTCCCCATCTCTACTGACAGTTCTATTCATAGACTAACTTTTGAACTTTACAGCACTGCTTGCTGACAACAAGCTACAAGAGACTTCACATGAGCTATCAAGCTGCTACACAACTGGGTGTACAGCGTGGACTGTACTAATTTCCCCATCACCTGCTGGCTATGCCCAGGGACCTGCCTGTTGAGACCGTGGTTTTCCCTGACCAACTTGGAGCATAAAGAGGTCAAAGTCCTTTGCCAACTGCCGCAGTGCAAAGCGGAGCCATTTCCCTTTCACCGGAGCCAAGCGGCCACACACACCTGGCACATCCAGAATCTCTTGCAAGCCAAAAATGACACACACCCATCCCCAGAAAGTGATTACTAGGTGTGTTTTAGAAAGTTGTTTTCCTGTCCTTAGGAATATAGATTCCCTATTGTTCAGTGTGTCACATGAAACTGGTTTTTCATCCTCAAATGCACAAATACTGTATGGGATGGCCGGTGGGGGGGTGGGGGTGGGGGCGTCTCAACGGACTGGGCCACTTTCCATCCTCTGCACCTGCCACACTGTAACATGAATCCCTGTTTTTTCTATTTTTCCCTCCCCTCCCCCTCCCCGAAGCTTCAGTTACATTATGAATAATGCAGGCCAAATTACAGACCCACAGTCTACTCACCCTTGCTTTCTACTTGTAAGGTGCTACTTGGACCTTCTACCTCATTCCTCACAATGTGTTGGTACTTTTCACAGTCACTTCCTAGAATCTCTGCCTGTTCATCTTCATGAACTAAAGAAATTTCTCGTCCTAGCAGGTTTGGCTCACTGGATAGAGCATCGGCCTGCCGACTGAAAGGTTCCGGGTCCGATTCTGGTCAAGGGCACATGCCCAGGTTGCAGGCTCAATCCCCAGTGGGGGACGTGCAGGAGGCAGCCAGTCAATGACTCTCATCATTGATGCTTTTGTTTCTATCTCCCTTACCTTCCTCTCTGAAATCAATTATATATATATATATATATATATATACAAAGTTTCTCGAATTATATAAAGTCTGTAGCAGCTTCAAAAATACAAAGAAATCTTGGGAGTAAGGTAGCCTTGACCTCAGGGCTCTTGAGTTTGGAAAAATAGACCAATGGTCATACATGATTATCAAAGCTGGAAAAAAAAAAAATCACTTGCAGGGTACTACAGGTACTACAATATTAGGTGATATTTTCTAGCTAGAAAGTTCTTCCCTGAAAAGGCCAGTTGAAACAGTAACTCCATCACTAGAAGCTAGCCAGGAAAACTAATACCATGGGCCTGTCATGATGTGTCTGGGAGAGCTGGGACTCTACATTTGGTTTTAAATAACTGGCCATCTGTGTAACTAAGTATGTAAGGAAGGACAGGATACATAAAAAGAGGCAAGTGGTGTTACCAAAGCCTCTTAGGACAGTTCATCAGAGGACAGGTCTAGGAAGGACAGGATCTTAGTTAAAAAGAAAACAGTCTCTCTTAAAAGGCACATATGGGAAATGACAGGTTTTGGAGGCAAGAAAAGGAAGAGGAATGACAACTTAGCCAAACAACTCTAGGAAGATGGGGACTGGAAGGACTCTATTAGGTAGAATAGACTACCAACATAGTTGGCCGGAAGTATTTCAATGTGATTTTTGAGGGTAATGCATAGACTTGATAACTCTGGATCCTGTTGCTTGGTTGATTTGTGGGTGGGACTATCTTAGCTGGCAAGGACAGGCCCATGGCACAGTTCCCAACATGTGGTTTAGTATGTTTTGGAAGGAGTTTTATCTTTGCTCTGACAGGTACCACTAGCTCTTGTAAGAGAGAGGTTAAAAGTGGTTACAAGTAAATGAAGAGAACACATTAAATTATTAATGTTCAAATCAAGATCAATATTGATCAAAACTGGTTCTGATCAAAGAATCAACTGGCTGGGAAAGTGGATCTGGTAAGAACTTGAATGAGGAAAAATGATCATACACTAAGACCCTCGGCTGGTACACAACTTTTGAAAATGGGGAATCAGTGTTAACAGTGACTTACAAGCCAAATTAAGATTTGAACCAATTGAACATTAAAATGATGGTCAGTTTACTTTTTTAAATATGTTTTTATCCATTTTAGAGAGAAATGAAGGGGGGAGAGAGAGAGAGAGAGAGAGAGAGAGAGAGAGAGAGAGAGAGAGAGAGAGAGAGAGAGAGAGAGAGAAAGAGAGAGAGAAAGAGAGAGAGAGAGAGAGAGAGAGAGAGAGAGAGAGAGAGAGATTGACTAGTTGCCTCCTGCACAGTCCCACCCCAACCAGGGATGGAGCCCACAACCTGGGTATGTGCCCTGACCGGAAATCCAACCAGTGACCCCTCAGTGCATGGGACGACATTCAACCAACTGAGCCACACTGGCCAGGGCTAATAATCAGCTTAATAGATAAACATGAACTTGAGTAGGGGAAAAGCTTTGGAGCAAACCAAATTTTTTATTTTTTACCTAACCTTAAAGTCCTAGATAAGTAATTAGAAGAGGTTAAAATTAAAATTAATGCTGAATATAATAATGCAAATAATATACACAACTGGTTACAATTAATGTCGCTTAAGCAGCGAGGAGGCACTAAGGCATTTTCCACTGTTTCTAACTCCAACTAAACCTCCAAGCCCCACATTCGATTTCCCCTAAAAATTCTCTAAGGTCCAATACAATAGAGTTAATGGAAGAGATTCACCCTAACTCTCCTGGTGGCAGAGTGTCTACTGGCGGAGGAAAAGAAACAGAGAGAGCTGCCCTTAACAGCAGCGTTCTGTGTCCCAAATAAAAGATGGTATTCATAAAAGTATTTCAGTTAGAAATGCCATTACACTAAGCAGAGTCTCCCTTAAAGGAGACTTTTATACATTTTGAATAAAGTAAACATAGTAACCGTGAGCTATAAACTTAGTTTCTATTGATACTTAATTATCTCTGTATCTGATTCATGTAATACTAACCTGGGTTTTGGGTTACGTTGGTGTGAACAGAACTCTTGGTGTGAACAGAACTCGTTTCGAATCCTGACTCCTCAAGACTTTGGGAAGGTTGCTCAAGCTACACAAGTCTGTTTCCTCATCAGGAAGATGGAAATATCTCCTAATTCCCAGGTTGTTGGGAGCCAATGAAATACTGTACATAAAACGCCTATCCAAACTGTCTAGCCCTCAGAAAATGTTTATGCCCTGTCCCCAAATCCGGTATCTTAACCCCTCTATCTATAGTAACATGAGTAGCCAAAAACATGCTAGGTTATGGCAAGACTGTGACCATAAATATATACAACGTACATTGTTGAACAGAAGTAACCATACCAAAAACATTCTTAAAAAAAAAAAAAAATTAGCTGAAACCAAACTAGCCAGAGACCCCAGAAATATTATTGGATGGAAAACTTAATCATTCTCACGGGAGGAGGTGGGGCAAGCAAAAATAAAAGGAGTACTGGCGTGCACTTCATTCTGCGCTGTCTGTCTAGAAGGAGAAAACATACCCAAGTCTTGGAGAGATAAGGAAGACAGGGATGGAGGCCACCCTGTCTGTCCTTGTGCCTGAATGTGGAGAGAGCAATGGCGGGTACATCAAGGGCTGCTAATAACCTTGAAATCTGGAGACTGGGCATAGACAGCTAAAGCTAAACCCTGGGACTTTTACGCTAAGTTCCTTGGGAGCGGTGCCCCTTGGCTCCTACAACAGCATCTTCGTGCAGAATTAATCATTGCACCCACGTGCTGGTGGAAACATAATGGAAAGGCCAAGGGGCGAGGGGGGAGGTATGGCACGGAGGCTGGGCGATCCAGGTAGAGGGGTAAGTTGTGCGGCATGCACTCTCCGTGACGGTGGGCTCAGGTCGCGGACTGTCAGTGCGCGCAGGTGACGGAAAGGGGCCTGGGGCGACCTTGGTCGCGGGGCCAGCGGGAGAGGGCGGCGGCGAGGGGAGGTGGGCTGCAGCAGGGGGACAGCGCCCCGGAAGCAGTTACCTGTAGTAGCTCAGTAGCCCGTTGCTCAGTACGAACCAACGCCGCTGGTAGCCTTTGATATAATTGGTCCATTTGAAGAGCCAGCCTTCTCGAGCCGAGCCCGAACCCCCAGCGCCGGAGCTGCCCGAGCCCCCCGAGCTCCCGGCCGGAGGTACTGGGGCTGGGCCTGCCGCCGCCACTGCCCCGGCGGCCCCGGGGCCCGGGCCGCTCGCAGACGACG